GGGAAAGAGGTCCGGTCCTGGCTCTGACTAAACCAAGGCCACTGATGTCACTCAGCAAACAAGCAGGGCCAGACTGAGGAACCCCTGCCTCCGCTCCACTGTGAGGAAGAGGCTCCCTGACCGCTGTCTTCTCATGACTCGGTTCTGGCTCCATGGGACTCGGGACCAGGGTTGTCCTGGAACCCCGCCTGCCTTCCCCGGCCGTCGGCGCCATCACAGTTCCCAGGCCTGGCCTCCCCAGGAGTCCTGCCCAACCGACCCCAGTCACCCTCCTTCCCTCACACCTCTGACCTTTGCCCCACATCCTTGCCCTTCTCTAAGAATGGGGATATGACGCCCAGAACCCAGTGTGCTGCAGTAAAGAACGTTCTCTTTGAGGGTTCACTACATCCTTGGTGCTCTGTGAAATTCAACTCTTGTGCCTTCTTGTTTGTTCTGAGAATGACAGTTTATGGCTCTTGCCTTATGATCCTGGTCATTGTTTATTTTATGATTTGAGATGTTCCCAGGTTGGCAACACTACACTGAGGCTTTTTTTCTTGATCAATAACCCACTCAATAATGCAGCTGAGCAAGTTGCTCATCAGCCAGATATGACGGGTCACCCATTAATTAGTGACCCAAGTCAACCCATGCAAACTGGCTGGTCCACTCTCCAAACTGGCAGGTCCAAAGTAGCTGGGGCTCCCTGCACAGATATTTTTGTAAACTCATCAGGGAGAGGGGATCTTGCACTCCAGCTTTAGAGTTCTGTAAGGGGAAGTTATTTTTCATCTTGTCTCTGAGGTGATGGGCTTGGGGCTGAGGGCTGGAAAAAGACTGACCAGACTTGCTCCAGTGCTTCTCAGCCTTCTCTGACTTAAGAATTCCTTCTGTTGTAAATGATAATTACAGAGTCCCATTTAGGAATTAAAGAAAAAAATTTGTCTTTTTTTTAATGCATTATATAAGAAACAAGTGACTGCAAATGAAAATATTTAATTTTAGCTTCATATACTATTATGTAAAGATAAGTTCAAATTGTTTTCCAATTTATTAAGTAATACATACATAATTTAAGTGGTAAGAAAAATCGAGATTTATTGGCAAAATTTAACAACTATGATGTTTGGTTTGGGGCTCAAATATATATTAAAATGCAGATTCAAATTTACTTTTGTTCCATCATCAAAAAAAAGAAAAAAGTGTTTTTATGACCTGATGTTTAGAATTCTTTAATTTTATGCTTTAAAAAAATCAGTTGCTTTACTTTTGTAATTTTCAGGTTTGTTTTGAAATGAAGAGGTAAGAAAAAGTTTCAGGCTTCTGTTTATAAGCTCTTCTCTGCAAGAAACACATTGTGGGCATGTATCATTTTTATTCTAAGTAAATAAAAAGGCAAAATGAATATAAATTATCACAATATTTGTACTTCTTAAAATACTTTTTGAAGTACCAGAAGCACCTTGATGTGCCCTGGAGAATTCTGAGTTGACAAACATAATGCATGAATCCAGGGCCAGCTGCATGATGTGTGGGGCTCAGCGCAAAATGAAAATGTAGAGCCTCTTGCTCAAAAAGGCAGGAAAAAAGCTTCTCCTTTGCTCCCACAGTGTCTCTCCTGACGTGTCCTGGGGTTTTCATTTGCTTTTTGATGCTGCACTCGCTCGGGCTCAGGCTTGGGGGAGAGCCTTAGGTCAGGGCAGGCACTCACGGCACCCTAGGCCCTATCCTGGGACTCGCACGTGAGACTCACACCAGATCCTGACTCTCCCCACAAGCGTGCGAGGCCCCCACTGGGAGTGGCGGGTGGCGGTGGCCACAGGGCAGGCTGAGGAGGGGGAGGCTGGGCAAGTCCATGCACCAGGGGTCAGGGGGTGGGTGGCTGAGAACCTGTCCCAGGAAGGTGAGGAGGGGCGGGGCTGGCCTGCAGGTCAGCCGTGGCTTGGAGCCCTGGTGGGCACTCCACTGTCCCACGGGGGCTTCCCTTATAAAAGAAAATTCAAAGGTAAAATTGCCAAGACTATCAAGAGGGTGCTAGAGAGCATTAAACCCTAAGCTCTGAGCCCCCTTCTGGATACGAGCCCCACTCAACGGCCCTGGTCACACACCCAGGAAGCCGGTCCTGTACAGATCTGAGAAAGTTCACATTAAGATGAAATTGCAGGACAGTTACTAATTTTATGCCTTTCATTTATTACCTCAAGTTTCAACCTTACTGTTCCTTATGACTGCGGTCTTTAACCAGCGGTCAGGTCTTCAGGGGTGCACGCTAAGCACATCTGACTGTAAAAGCATGAGCTTGATGAGAACCTGCCGGACTCCAACCCACCAGCACCGGCGCTTACTCTATGCCCACCTGAGAAACAGAAAGGCTAAGTAATAATTAACTTATGTATTGATTATTTTGCGCTCAAAATGTAAAGAGATGTCCTTCTCACCTTAAACGGTGTGAGTGGACCCTGAGGTGCCTCTGTGAGCCCAGCGGGGATCCACGCTGCTGAGGGGGGCAGTCCCCGCGTGCCTGGCGCAGCCCTGGGCTGCGCTCACGGTCCTGGTGCAAGCACTCAAAGCTGCCCCCCCTCACGCTCTCGACTCACTGCGGGCACTGTCCTCTCCTCTCTGATCTGGAGGAACCCAGTGCACTTCTCCAGAGAAAAACAGCATGTTTGAGGCCCAGGAACCTCACCTGTCTGCTGCCCTGACCGCAGGAGCCCAAAGTGGGGAGAATAACCTGCCCACTCTTCCCTCGTGAAATCCAAAGGTGACGGAATATCCACAAACAGCGCAGCCCAATGGAATGGCTGCTGCCCCGGGATCCAGGCCTGGGCCTAGGTGAGGAACAGGCCAGGGAGGAAGAGGCTCACCCAAGAACACTTATGTGTAGGCTGGCACAGGACCGGGTGGCCGGACAGAAGAAACCAGCAACTATGTGCCTCAGCTGCCCCACGGGGCTGGGGCTCCTTGCACACCATGCTCAGAGGGCCCAGGGACCACTGAGACAGCTGACGTCTGGGAGGGCGGAGGACTCTGAGGACAGGGCGTTTGACCTCTCCAGGTCTCTGCAGAGTGGCTGGTAGGCGGAAGCAAAGCCGCAGGAGCTGGCTTCCGTTCGCTGGTGAAGAGATACCCAGAAATGGTAACGATGTCCCCACTGTGCAAGAGCAGGACTTTCTTCTGTCCCAAGCTGAACAACAGGACATTAGTGGGTAGAACAAATAGCTCCACTTAACTCAGGATGTGGCATTTACCTGTACACCAGGAAATATCACCGTGTCTTTCAGGAAAGGGGACCCTTACCTCATTTGCTGTGTTGTGTGTCCCAACGATTCGAATGAAGGAGGCCGGCCGTCTTTCAAAAGTTACTGATTGCCAGGACCTGTGAGGAGAAGCACAAGCATTGCCTGGTTAGACCACCCAGTTGACCCTGCTGACAGCACGGGGCCAGCAGAGCCCAGTACATGGACGGGGAGGGCCTCCTGCGCCGTAGGGGGGCGGGGACAGGGCTCCACCCACTGTGGGGAGATGGGCAGGAGCACATGGTGTTCCCTACAATCTCATCAAAGAAGGCGCCCTGCCCTTCTGTGAAGGTGATGGGATTCTCATAATGCTCGACATAAGCGTGAAGGGCAGACTGCGTGCACGTAGTGACAAGAGTGTGGCCGAACAGAGGAGTGACCAAGGCTGGTGGAGTTCATGAAGTAACAGGGCCACGATGGGGCTGCCCTCAGAGGGCTGTGGGCTGAATGGATGCGTCCAGGTGGGCGCAGTGACTTCGCTGGGGAGCCCTGGGAGGAGCTGAGGCAGGGCAAGGGGAGGACGGGGCTGGGCGGCACTTGCTGCAGTGTGAGCCCCAGGCTCCTGTCTGAACCCCTCACCCCACCCCCTGAGAGTGGTGGCACCTGGGGAAGAAAGGCAGTTTCTCCACAGGCCTCCCTCCAGCCCTCCTTTTCCCACTTCCAAATATGCCCCCCAAACAGTTTATTCTCTGGACCAGCCAGTCTCCGGGTGGGCTCAAAAGCAGCCCCACTATTTTAAAAGCCATTCCTCAAGGATCAGCAGGGGCTGGGCCAGTTCATTTAAAGCCCAGCCGAGCGGGCCCCAAGCCGCCCCTGAGAGGAAGCAGTCTGCTCCCGGTTTACCGCCCCGTTCATCAGAACACACGGGGAGCTCAGCATCCACAGCTGCGAACACCAGTAATACTTTCATAAGAAATGTGCGGAGTTCACAGTTGTTGCATCCCTCCTCTGTCCACACAGTGGAAGTGCCAGCTGCTGGGAAGCTGTTTCCTGTAATTGTCTAATTACCAAGTAATGCTACTAAAGAAAATACATGTATTTGTGGTTTGTTTTTCCCCCTTTGCTTTCAGGTGTTCCATCTTCTCTCTCCCTGTGAGCTTCCCACTGAGACTGATTCACTGCTGCCTGGACACCAGACCCCTTAAGGTCATTAAAAAGTCATTACCATCCTGTGTGCAAAGTCTGTGCCTCCAGAAGCATGTTTCTGGAACAGCATAAGAAAAATCACTCTTTGTAAAAAGGCTATTATTCATACATGAAGGTGATGCCATCTGACCATCCCCAGGGCCTGCACTCCTGGCCCATTTTCTCAGTGTTCTGCTCCCAGACCCACGCAGCTCCCTTGGAAAGCCTGTGGGCCAGGGTGGGTCTACGAGGAAGGCCCTGTGGGGCTTCAACTCTGGGCCTGGGCTCGCTCCCACAGGCCTCAGGGTCACTTCTGAGCTAAGCAGGGTAACTGAGCACAGATCTGCATCCTTCCTCCGGCAGGTCAGGGGAAGCTGGGGTCCACACTGTGAGGGCATCAGAGTCCCATCCCTGCTGCTAATGCAAGAGGCAGCACACACCAAAGCTGGTCCACCCTGCTTCTCAGCCCACCCCTCCAGGACAGGGAAACAGGACTCGGGCAAGTGACCTCAGCCGGTGACAACTATTAGGTTCAGCCAGTTTCACAAAAAGGACTGGGGTAGAGAAGGGGGCGGGAGTGGAGCAGACAGCGTAAGGACTTTTCTTCTTAGATTTCTAGTCCTATGCTAATCCAAAAAATCGCCTGGCACTTCTGGACGTGAAGGTATAACTTGACTCTTGTAAGCTCATGGTACTCGACAACATGCTCAGGGCTCTGAGAGTGCAGACAGGCCCCTAATCATTCCCTCTGTGGAAGACCCCTCCTCCCTCCACAGTGTGGAGTGGAGGCCAAGGCCCTGAAGGAAGTGAGGGTTCGCCGTGAGTCATCCTGGGCAGAGCCGGGCCTGAACCCCAGTCTCCCTTTCCTCACCATGGCTCCCTCGGCTCCCATCTCCTGCCCTAGCCTCTGCGGCGGGTCTGGGCTGGCACCACCGGCCCCCACCTCTGCTGGGGGAAGCAGGGCTGGCAGGGCAGCAGCCTGAGAAGGAGGGAGCGTTTGTGGAGTAATAAGATCAGAAGGCTTCAATTTAATACCAATCCTCCATTACCCTGCATTAATATCTAATCACATTAGAGTTCATTTTCACTAACACAGCCCGAGTTGAATAGATGATTTCATTTTCAGCAAACTGGATAACAACCCCAAGACCAAAATACGAGTAGGAAGGGAAGCTGGTGAGGATGAGATAATGAGCATCTCTCCCTCCAAAATATCAGATTCCATTTCCCCTGAACTTTTTCAAAACAACTTTCAGTGCTGCCCAGTGGGGAAAGGATAAGGCAGCATCAGGACACTGTTACATCGAAGCCACATTTGTAATCAGGGTGCAACCTTGAGAAGGGTTCACGCTTCACAGGGCCAGGACACCATCACCACCACTTAGTCTACACAAAAGCTTGACTGCCATTTTTATTGAGCTTACGGAGAGCTGTATAAATATTCCTACTCGCCCAGGACTTGGAATCTCTTTAGTAGGCAACACTGCCAGGAAGACAACAGAACAACAGGGGTGTAGCACCACTCAGTTCAGAGCCAAGACTGGGTGCCAGGAGGACGTGTCTGAACAGGAACAATGGGTGTCAAAAAATACGTGCAGGTCTTTGCTCTGAGCACCTACCCCAAACAGAAAAACCCACACGGGACTGAAGTCCCAACTCTGGCACTTGCCATCTTTCCAGCTGACAAATCACGCCCGCTTCCTGAGCTGTAGTTTCTTCATTTGTCCAATGCTGACAGAAATAATACCACTCCCTTGGTTACAAAAATGCATCTAGAATGAGGTCTTGATTATGTTAAACTGTAAATAACCTATACACGCACGCATTCAAAGAGGAATGTCTACAAGAATGTTTGCCAAAACGTTTGGATGGAAGAATTTCAAGAGACATTAATTGTACTTTTGTACTTTTCTGTAGTGTTTGAGTTTGGTAGAATGTATATGAAAGCATTAGAAAAAAGTACCTATCTTGCCTACCACCCAAGGCTTTAACACAGATCGTGTGACATGAAGCAAGTGAAAATGCCAGCACTGTATTATTACGTAAAATATTTGCAGTTGAGAGGATCACTGGGGGACAGTCAAGACAGCAGGTTTTAATCATGGCCTTTCATGAACTAGAGGTAGGATGGCAAAGTGGTTGACAGCATGGGCTCTGGAGCCAGGCTCCTGGGTTTGAATTTTTACCAGTTCTGTGACCTTAGGCAAGCTGCTTAACCTTTCTGGGCTTTAGTCTCCTCTCTGTAAAATGAGGATAATAAAAATACCTATCTAAATTTTTGGTGTGTGTAGATTAAATACATTAACAAATGTAAAACACCTAGAACAGTGCTGGCATACACTAGGCTCTAAGAAAAATAGCTGATATTGTTATTACTACTGTAATTACCAGCCAGCCATGTGAACCTGGACGAGACACAGTTTCCCTGGGTCCCATATGTGAGTCACTGAGTTTGATGGTGTATGATTTAGTGACTACTGCAGAGGTTCCCACCACCCTCCCATCAGCACCCATTTCCTGGAGGCAGACAAGGTTGCTGGGCTTTGAAGGAATTAAACAAGCATTTGTTGAATACATTCTTGAGGTTGGTACCTGCTGGGTGTTATGGGAAACATGCAAGATGTAGTGCTTGCCCTAAAGAAGCTTAGGATCTCTCTGGGGACATAAGCTATCCTTCCATGAACTAGTCAGAGAACAATGCAAACAGTACTGTGGTCCCAACTCATAAACTGGTAGTGTTCCAAAACTTCCCTGGTAATTGGCTATTTGAAGCTTGGAAGCAATTTTTTCAGAGAAATAAAGCTATACATTTTGATTGAGTTACCCGGCCCACCCATAAAACTCAATTTAACCCATAATGAGGCTGAAATACTATGTATATGAAGTTTAAAAATGGAAGGAAAAAATGTTGTTGTTGCCATAGTAGTAATTAAACAAGCCAGAAAAACAAGTGATTTAAAACAATCTCTCTAAAGCTACTGCTTGAGGAATGAGGATTAAATACTGCAATGCATATAAAATCCTAGGGCTGCAGCTGAAATATGGTAGGTGGTCTGTTTACAAGGAGAGTGAAAAAGTGGGCCAAGAACTGTCCTTCTAAAAGCCTATTCGGCCTGCAGACCACCATGTGGTTTACGGAGTGCTTCACAATCGCTGTGAACATGCTACTCATGAAAACATACATGATTGTAAAATTTTTTTTTTACTATTCTGGGAGGAGATATGCTGAATTCATGATAGTGGTTGTCTCTCAGGAGAGGGTGAGGAACAAAGGATACTTCAACACCAACTGGAATGTTTTATTTCTTTGATTAAAATAAAAAGACAAAGTGTATGTGAAAAATATTAACTACAGTCAATTCTGGGGATGAGTATGTGAGTGAATGTTATAATACTTTTCATTCTTTTCTGCATTTTAAACACTTCTTAAAATAAATAAAAAGAAAGAAAGAGAAGAAAGGGATTAAAATGGTGTCTGTGTTTATGTCAGGGGAAAGGTGGAGTCAGTCCCTCGGTGGGGCTGGGGGTTTGCCGGTGGTGCAGGGGGGTTGCCAGGTCCCAGGATAGCGGAGTCTTTGTCTGAAGCAAGCAGAGGACAGGAGAGCTGCCTGGTTGGGGAGGAGGGTGTGGCTGCCCTCTGTGAGTACAGGGCTTGTGAAAGTGGCTCTGGGTGATGAGAGCACCACACGGGCCCTAAGGGCTCGGCTGAGAAGGGCTTCCCATCCTAAGCCGCATCCTGCCTTCTCTGGGGATCCTGCAGATCCTATGGCAAGGCCTTTTCAGCTCTGAAAAATTACGTGACTTTGCTCCCTACGCTATAAAGGGAAAGCAAATGTCAGACTTTTTCTGCAGCACACGTGGTGGACACCAGGGAGATGGCCAGGAGTGTCTGGCCAGGGCCAGACTGGCAGTTAAACACAGCAAATTGAACACATGGGTTAAGCTTTGCTCCCTC